ACCTCTATTAACCCTTTGAGAATTTGAGTAATTAAATTATTGACTCAATATGGTACACAAATACATGGGTGTCGAATAAATCTAGAAATGTAAATGGGTTTAGCTTCCGCATGGATCGTGTCATTGACAGGGCCTTATTTGATGTTTTGCGGCTCTAATAATAAAGTCTATATACACATGGGTGTTGAGAAAGCCTTTTAAGCTTGATGGAAGATGCTTTTAGAGTCCATCAAAAATGTTTTTGAAAGTTGTACGATTCGATTTTTTGCTTCAGTATTGTGTGTGTATAAGGATTGAGTTAAAAATATAAAGAGTTTAATTTTTCTGGTCTCGAAGTTTTGAAGTTTTTAAATTTCTCAACGTGTAATTTCTTTGGACGTGTAATCTCGAGGGGTAAACCGCAAGGGAAATCAGGTGTACAAATTAGGGGAAATCAAGAAAAATCCTAAGGAAGTCAGAGAAAATCTTGAGGAAATCATAAGAAATCAAAGGTAATTATTAGTAACTCAAAAGAAACCTTAAGGAACTCAGGGTGAATCTTAAGAAAATCATGGGAAATTTAAACAAAATTAGGCAATCTTTAGATCTAACCTATGCGCAGTTTTCAAATATCTCTATAATTTGAGAAAAACCCACTGGAAATTATGGGAAATCATCGATGATTTCCCTTAAAACCGCAACCTGGTGTACAAAAACTGACCTGCGGGGACTGCCTGAGAACTCTGCTCCCCTGTTTCAAGAATAAGGACCCTGAGGGATATCTCAAGGAAATCATGAGAAGTTCAATGGAAATCAGTTAATCTCAAGATCTAACGCATGCGCAGCTTTCAAAAATCTTTGTAATTTGTTATGTTATCAGAGGAACTCTTTTGCAATTTTACTCGTAATCAGAAGAAATCAGCGTAATCAAGATACATCATCTATGATTTCTTCTAAAATTAGAATCGAGGAAATCTAAGGCAATCAGAGAAAATCATGAGTTATACGAGGGAAATTTTAAGGAATTGTAGGGGAAATCTGGTGTACAAATTATGGGAAATCAAGAGGAAATCTAAGGCAATCAGGGGAAATCGTAACAGAAGCATAAGAAAGTGAGTCAAAGTTTTCTCTGTGATCATTATAAATACCGAAGCAAGACACAACCAATTAATTACTAAATTCCTAATCCCCAAGCAAGTTCCAGCATTAGCCTTGGATGGATGGATCTTTAATCTTTATCCAAATATTTAAAGCACATTTTAATATAAAAAAAAAGTATACTCGTATATTTCCAATTATTATTTGATGACCGTGCAAAGCAAGCATCAGCGTTATAAAGATGTGAGGGGCGCGAAAATGATTTCCCGTGGAAATTATACCTCGATTTTATTTTATAGCACGAAAATGTGAAAAGTTTTCAAATTGAGTCCTTTGGGCGATGATCGGTAAGTACGTATACAGTTCCAGATATCTGGAAAGTTGGCAATATAAAGAAAGAGAGGAAAAATAAATTCGATTGGATAAAGATGATTTTATATACTTACCCGAAAGAAAAAAAGTGCTGTGGTGGTTTTTGAATTTAGTAACTCTCTTATTTTAAAAATGTTTTTCCAAGCTTCTTATATTAGCTCAATCCCTACAAAAGCCAAAACTAGTTGAAACAATACCAAACGAGTTTTGAAATACCTGGTGATGATTCGAAAAACAAATTAAACAACGATAACACTAAAACTGCTCATCGAAAACAGGAAAGTTTCAAACCTGAGCCCGAGCACCAGGAAACCGTAAAATAAACGCTCCACGGGCAACAAAGTTTCCTCCAGAATTAATTAAAATTCTTCTTATCTTTCCGCTGAATGTAGAAATTGGATAAGTTATGGCTGTTTTATGCAACATTAAGTTTTATGCCCGATTTTGACTTTGCACTAGAACTAGAAAAAAATATTACCCTTTGGCGTGTCGCGTTTGTTTTTGTTTGTAGAAAAAAAAAACCCAAACAAGCAAATGCTTATTCAATGATTCGCACGCCAAAAGACACTTAGCGGCGTAATTAGGACTCCTTAAGCCTTCCCTCCCGGCACCGTATTAACTCTCTATTTATGTAGCTCCTCGGTTAATTTAAGGTATTTACTTTGCGTGAAGAGGGGATTAGGGAGGAAATATGTTTTGCTCTCAATGGCTCTGCTGTTTGTTTTGGAGGACTTAAGTTTTGAGGGTGGTTTTGGGAGAGAGAGGATTTCTATAGAGAGAGCGAGCAGGGTTTTCTTAGATCTATATGAAACTATGGTTTGAAAGGGTTAATGTGTTGTTTTGTGTTTTGTAAATTTCTCTGAAACTTATTCATCTATAAAATAAATACAAAATTCAAAGAAAAATTTAAAATAATTATCCTTAGGTAATCAAATATTAAAATCAATTTACTTGAAATCCAAATAAGTAGTATTAATTTATTGCTTCAAAGTAATCTTAGCTTTATTTATTTGCAAGTTCACTTATGAGTAAATGAAAATTCAGGATACTTGAAATTTGAATACTGAGAAAAGATTCTACAGAGATAAAATTATCAGGTAGGTATTACGTTGAATTAACTTACTTTACTTGTTTACGGAGAATAGATACAAAATGCTCATTTAACTTCCAGAATTTATAGGGAAAGATTTCCTAATAGAACGGCACCTAATGAAAGAAGATTTGTGTCCGTTTTGCAAAGATTGCGTGATACGGAAAGTGTGAGTTTGCAAAATGTAAATCGATGCAATGTTGGCTTCGAATTGGATTACGTTGAAGATTTTCGAAGTTACGTTGATGTTTAGTCAGTATTTTACTTCTATTTTATATTTTTCCATGGCCTTTGAGTATTAATTAGTCTTTAAGTGTTTTAAGTGAAAGATAGATTAATTCAATATGCCCTACAGTCATGGATATTATTGAAGTGCTACGCATTACATTCACACAGAAAAAACAAATTAGATTAGAGCAATATGAGGCTCCCTAGGGATGCCTCTACTTCTGCGATGAAATCTTCGAGTAGAACTAGGCGGTAGTGCTTGAGAACTTGACTGAGAAAGAGTGTTCTCGAGCTGCTCGTAGAGAGTGTCTTTGGAATCCAGGTCTGAATCTAGTAGTGTTGGATCTTAGGCGCTAATTACAGCAACGAATGTCTGAATATTCAAAGGCAAATAACGTTCCGAGATTCCCTTTGGTAGTCTGGAGTTCCTGATAGCAAAGCTTGAATGAATCTTTCTTGAACCGGCGGGAAGGCTCTTCCAGAAAAAGGTATATCTACCATTTCTGAGACTGCCCTCAATTAATTTTGTCCTCACCTACCCTAACTTGAAAATATGTTCACAAGGTGTCTCCAAAGAATTCTTCAATATTATAGTATGCTTTAGTTAAGAGTAACTCCCTTACCTACTTCCGTATGAACGTGATGACCTAACGCTAGATGGTAGAAAACTGGAGGCTTTCTTGGTAAAATAAAAAAAAAGACTTCTTCATCAGGGAACTTCTGGGAATTGGCAGTGGAATATGGAATATAATTAACTTGCCTAGTGGAATAGTGCCTTGCCGAAGAAAATTGGTCATAGTATTTCCTATAGAACAGCCAAACACTTTCGAGTATACAGGGTGTATCAGGTTTGTCTACAAAAACATTTTCATTTCCAGGAAACGCATGCGCATTTATGAGCTGGTACATTTTTATTAATTCTGGTACAATTTGTCTTTTGGAATTGTGCATTTTTCAATAAAAACATCGTTTTTCTAGGTTGATATGATAGGTATTATATGCTTCAATTTTTTTTTTGGAACTAGTAGTACAAAAACAATCTGTTGATCAGAGGTTGGGCTATTTTGTCGGCATTCTATGAGCAAGTTCACTTTTGTAGGTTATGTATGAAGTTCACAGTTGAACTTTATTTTGTATTGTAGCTTGTGTTCCACCTTCAGACAGCATGTCTGTTCCATAATCGGAAACTGTCTGATTGTGGAACACAATTCGTGTTGTTAAAAAAGTGATTATTTTTGTGGAAATTTAATTTATATCTCAGAAAATATGGTTCGAGGACGTCAGCTAAATGACCAATTTGATAAACAATCCATGAGAGCTGCTTAGAGCAGTCACCGAAGAGAAGATAATATATCTTCAAGACACGCAGCTTAAAGATAAGATTTAAAATTTCAAACAGTTTAGGAATATGTGAAAATGTAAAACCAGAATCCCACTAAAGAGATTGAAATGGCTCCGAATTATGCATGTAGAAAAGTTTTTGAAAAACAAGAAAAAGCCTTAACCGATTACGTATTAACTTACCTACTAATTCAACTCAAAGACTTTTTTTCAACAATTTGGAAAAATGGTTCGAGATGCATAGAAATTTTTGTAGCGGTACAAGAATTTATAATTTGGATAAAACTGCCACTTCAACCGTCCAAAAACCGAAAAAGATTGTTGCCCAGAATGGGATCAAGCAGGTGGCTTCCTGCACGAGCACTGAACTAGGTTTTTTGATCACTGCTTGCTGTGGTATATCAGCATTCGGGAATACAATAGCAACAGTCATCGTTTTTCCTCAAAAAAGTTTAATCCTTGAATGACTTATGGAGCACTGTTTGGTAGTTTGGAATTGGTTTTCGATTCTGGATTGATGAATCATGAATTGTTTCCGAGCGTTGTAGGGCGAACCTTTCATTCACATAAGGATAGACGGAAGAAATCTAGCCAAGGAAAATGGAGTGACCATTTTGACCTTGTCTCGATATTTTTTTTGTTTAAATCATTCTACAATACTGTTTTACAAACATGGCTTTTAAAACACACTGGGATACCTACCTGTTTCTATTTTTGATATTGCTGACTGTGTTTGCATATGCATTATTTGAAAAAATCGATAATCTCAGCTAATATAAAATCCGTTTTTATTCATTCGAAGAAAATTAACCCACTCGCTAGGGCTCGTGGGTTAAACTTTCTTCTCATGAATAAACATTCATTTAACTCACTTGGTGTATAAATAACTATTAATCAAACTTGATAGGTACCTACACCCTGTAGAAGAATAAATAAATATTCATGGGAAGGAAAAATAGAGTGAAATTACAATAAAAAAAAATTCTAGTAGAAAACTGCTGTTGCTTGTAATATTATCTATATTATTTACCCTAAATGTATTTTTTACTATATTTCCCTATCATCTCTCCATACATAATATGTTAACGTTTTTGTTAGAAAGTAGCAGCAGATTTGTTATTTTGAATCATCCTGTACAAAACTGTCCATTCTAGATGCTGGAAAGTAGCAACGAATAAGAATAAGCTCCTCGTACAATCTGAAACAAAAAAACATGTAAGTATATTTGGCTCATTTTCTCTCATCAAAATTCTCTTTTGCGATTATTTCAGTAGCTGCAGCGGTTTTTTTGCAGATTCGCACAATATAATTGTTCCTTATTTGGACCTTTAGAATCCCTGGATTTATTGGGCAAGAGGTTCACTTTGTTATAGTCCTCCATTGAATTAAAATTCGCAAAGAATACTTGAAGGTACATCAGCTGGAAACTTACTTGCAAACAACTATTATTATTTTTATAAAAGAAGTTTTCTATGGATGGATTTTTGTTAAATTCCGATAAAATTACTGAGGATTTTTGTTCATCATTCCCAACTTCAAATTAACTATTAACCAAACTTCAAAAATTCTTACCGCTAAAAAGGTCTCCAAGGCAATATTGTGAAACTTTCCGATTGAAATATACAAAGGTTTCTGAGGCCTCATAATGCACATTACGATATTTTTGCGTACGTCCTCAGGATAAACGGTCCAATCCAAATTGTACCACAATTTTCCGATTTCGTGACTTCTCTGAGTCAATATGTTCGAACTGTAGCAATAAATGAAAACCCTGACGAGGTGAAATATGGCGAATTGACTGAGGAGGAGCAGTTGCACCAGGCTCAGATTTGTCTGAAATTATCAAAGCAAAGGATTTTAACATAGGTGGAAATTCTTAAATTCAACTTACCACGATTAAATAAATTATTGTCGCCATTTGAATGGAACTAGGCATAAAATCCAGTAGCAATATGTTCCTTAAAGTTTTATTCAATTGTATTACGTAGCTGAAAATAATTACATATTAACTCTTAACAGGCCTGTACAAATAGCAACTTTACGAGTAAGGCAAGGCGCATAATTGAGATATGTATAGCGCGCCACTCACTTAATAATGTCTTTATGCCTCTGTATGTTTTCCTCCTGCATCTTCTTGTAAGAGTCCTCCATAGTCGTTCTGTGCGTAGCCGAGTGCTCAGAAGCATATCTTTGGAAGTTACGTATGTAGTGACACAACACGTCCAATTGACAAACCCCAAAAAGAATAAAGCTGCATGCAATTTTATTGGTTTAAATCGGCCTCAGAAACTTCAATTACTCACCAATAGCAAAGCATATCTGTTGAAATCATAATGTAAGTCGTGAAGGATCCAAATGAAGTGGCGTACACGTAAGAAAGAAAATAGGAGTTGTCGAATGGTATCCATATAGATATGGGCGTTTGGGTGACGGCTACTGTCTCGTTACCTAGAGTTAGGTAATAAGGATCCCTAAACAATGGTGCTGGAACGTAGCCGCCCATCATAAGCACCGAAATTATGAAGTAACAGTACTTAGTTCTTTGGACTAAAATCAGAGATGTTTCGTAGGCGGTTTGAACTGTAGGGTCACCAGTGGAATAAATGAAGTTCTCGAATTCGAAAACTTTTTTGAAGATTTTGCCGCTGAGTTTGCCTAAAAGAGAGAGTCTAGAATATTTTACGAATCAATAATTTTTATGAGCCACCTTTCAAAAAAATACCCCTGATAATAACATTAGCAAAGTAAAGCGTGACATTCAAATTTCTGAAGACTTCGGCAACAATTAACGTTTCGTCGTTGAAAATCTGATATAACTTAACAATTTGACTAAAGTTAACGAAAATTACTATACTGTAGACAAATTTACCACAATAAATGTAAAACATTCGAGTAAATTTAGTTTTGAAGTCCAGAACGTCGGGTAACAGGCAAAAATAGTAAGCCGACTTCATCATAAAACTGCCGAAGAATTTATTTTTGAGAGGATCCTTCAAAGAAAATCTTAAGATTGTCAATCACAAATTTGTTTATATTCTTACCGAGTTCTTCATCTTGTGAGATACCAGACAACTACTATAAGTCCTAATACAAAGTAACGAGGAGTATATATTTATATGAATAATAAAATCCTTTCCAATGTCTATTTTTAATAAGGCGAAGCCCAAAACTGACAATTTTCCTGCAATTATTTTAACAATATATTTGCGTATTTACTAGACCAAATTGGGCGTTTAAACGTTTTCATACACCCTCAGCGACGTCAAAAATGTATTTGATATATCATAAATCCTCACAAATATACATAGTTTATTTATTCGCGGCATTAAATATTTGTCCTTGTGGAAAAATGTAATGGTAGAAAGAAGAGGAAAAATCGGTGAGGCAAATATCGTCATCAACGTAGACGGAGAATCGTCATCATCATGTTAATAGACTAAAAGCAATTGAATTATTTCCACAAATTTTATATGCGTTCTTCAAAAAAGTATCCAGTGATCATCAGGAAGTTGAAACTTTCCGTCAAGAAATGGAGAGAAGAAGATCAAAAAATTGGAATGTGACATGTGACTTGAGGTCAAGAAATGTCGTCTGCATCTGGTATTAAAGTTAAGCCACCACCATGACGGACAGACATAAAAGGGAGCATTATTTTCTACCGTTACGAGAGAAGGAGAGATTTCAACTATGATTGTAGAGTACGGTTGAGATCTCTCTTTCCTTTTAATGACTCTCAGCATTCAATGGGTAACTTGAACAAGAGCAGCGCTATTGCGGTAGAAAAGGACATTTCAAACGTGACCGTAAAGTACAACTGAGATATCCTTCTTCTTCTGATGACTGTCAACCTTTAATTGAGAACTTGCACCGCCGAAAATGCCCAGATCAATACCAGAACTGCCCCAGATCAGCTAGAATCGGAAACCAGTTAATTGTTTTTATTTTGAGCCATGTATGTAATTTTCACATTCCTTACTGGTTTGAAGGTTCGAAAATGTCACTTTACTTTTGTTTACCTTAAAGCAGGCCGAAAGTGACAGGAGAACTGTCACTTTCGGCCTGGAAAACTCACTTTCGGCCCTAATAAATTGTTCTTTCACACCTAAACACAAATCCAGGTGCAATGTTTGTATTTACAAGTAGATAACTCTCATGTGATTATATTATTGAAATTTTATAAAATGTCGGTGTCAGACTGTCAGTCGAAATTCCATTTTTGTCATATTTTTACCCTATTTTTCTCAAAATAAAATAGTATACATAATTCGTTGGAAAGTTTTCACATTATTGTCTCAAGAATTGGTTTACCTCGGCGCTTCGCACCTCGGTCAACCATAGTATCTCTCGACAATAATGAAACACTTTCCACCTCCGCATGTAATATACTATTTTTTACCCAGCGAGATTAGGTCGCTCAATTTCTGACGAAACCGTGTCAAGAGCCAAGGGTTATCAGTCGGTTTTCGGAAAAGTGTAATTACTGTGTCTTAAAACACGACTATCGACTCCTGGTTCCATGAACACACCGCATGTTTTGCGATCGATAAGAATCCCAAAAGCGTCATCAACCTGCCAATATGAATAAGCCTGTGAGCCTCCTAGATTCATTCAGTTCTGTAACGAAGTTCTGGTGTTTAGTGTTGACGTCTTTCTGCTGACTCTCTTTCCGAGACCTTAGGTAATGTTTCAATTTCAAATATTTTAATTTATTCGTCATGATTTTTGTTTTCTGTCTGTTATTTATTTTCTCCCTTGTGTAAAGAACAAAACCGTTGCGTTAGCTTCACAACTCAAATCTCTTTTCCAACACCAACCCTGAATATCAAGGCCGTTTTGTCATTCCCTTGTCGAGGACGCCCGTGACTTTTTACCCATTAAGAATTATTATAACCTAGTTTTTATTTTCTGTATCTTTTAATCCTTAATTTCTCATGTAACTTGTACCATCAAGGTAGGTACGCCCTAGACAGGACGCTCATTGATTCCACTCCCTATCATTGCAAATCTCTGTATATGTATTTTCTTTCATGTCATTTCAGTAAACATTGTTAATAACTTACTGTATATTCTTTCATTTTCATTTCATTTCCTTACCAAGATTCACCATTTGTTCAATAAACCATTGTTAGAGTTAAGTAATAAAAACTGATTCTTTTATTTCCTTTGGAAAACTCCGAGCTAGCATTCCAACTAACTGCGTACAGCTCAGGTAGCAAGAACCCGTACTGGAAGAGGCAATCCAATCAGATTACTAAAAAGTATCCATTCAAAGTTACCTGATAGGAGATAAATGGATTACGCACGAATTTATAGTAATACCCGAGAATTTTCCGATAGACCATCATGGTATACTAGGCACTGATTTCCTGCCAGAACATAACATTAGTATAAAATTCCGGAATAAACACAGCACACTCCAACTGCAAGATACTGAAATACCATTGATGACCTTAAAGGAAACCAATACTTACTTGCGAGGACTGACACATATAGATAAACCCGAAGCCGAAAATAGTTACGAGAACCGACAGGAAAACCCAGAGTTTCCAAATTTTAGAACAGGCCTAGACTAGAAATCCGGTGATTCCAGTAACCGAACCGATACATGCGTCTAACCCGAAATCTGGAATCACATCCGTTAATATTGATGCATCAAAATCCGAAACCGCAGATGGTAATCCGATTCCAGTCAAGATTACCGAACGTGTTACCATACCTCCCAGAAGTGAGGTAATCATTGAAGGAAGGACGAAAGAACCTGTACCTTTCGAACTCGGCATCGTAAACCCAGCGGAAGTGCACGTCCATGGGATTATGGTGGCCAGATGTCTGGTTAACACAAGAAATTGGATACTGATCCGCTTAGTCAACGTCCCAAAAGTCGAATTGACCTTACCTACGGCCACTGTCGTAGGGCACTTAGAGCCGGGGAACCACTGGAACGGTCACAAGGTAGTCAAGAAACTCAAGAGATTAGACACGTTAGACATGTATCACCTGCCTGACGAGAAATCGATATCAAGGGAACCGCCCTCATTATCTTCGTTCTCCTCAGTATCACGCTGTATTGCCAATTTTAGCTAGTACGTTATCGCAACCAGTCAAGATACGGGCGTGGGCCATCACCCGTACGTCCTCGTTCGCTCCATGTCTCCAACAGTATTAAATATGTTGACATGAACAAACTCGATACGAGAACGTCATCCGCGTTCACTACCAGAATGAACCTGACTCGTCTAGTGCCGATGCCAACCCAGAGTTATTTTCCAGACCATTCCGGAGGTAGAACAAGTCAGGACAGGACATCCAGTAAGAGCTTCCTCGACCAGTCTAAACCGTTTTGGTAAAAAATAATTTTCGAAAACATACACCACTTGAGGATATAGGTTTCCGTTTTAGGAGAGGGTAATGTAACAAAACGGCCTAAAAATCCTTTTTTTTTTTTGCTTGGTAATACAATTCATTGTTTTTTTTTTACCCAGCAAGATTAAGCCGCAAAATTTCTGACGAAACCGTGTCAAGAGCCAAGGGTTATCAGTCGGTTTTTGAAAGAATGTGATTACTGTGTCTTAAAACACGACTCTCGATTCCTGGTTCCATGAATAAACCGCATGTTTTGCGACCGATAAGAATCCCAAAAGCGTCATCAAGCTGCCAATATAAATAAGCCCGTGAGTCTCCTAGATTCATTCAGTTCTGTAACGAAGTTCTGGTGTTTAGACCTTAGGTAATGTTTCAATTTCAAGTATTTTAATTTAAGTCGCTAAATTTCTGACGAAACCGTGTCAAGAGCCAAGGGTTATCAGTCGGTTTTCGAAAGAGTGTGATTACTGTGTCTTAAAACACGACTCTCGATTCCTGGTTTCATGAACAAACCGCATGTTTTGCGACCGATAAGAATCCCAAAAGCGTCATCAATCTGCCAATATAAATAAGCCCGTGAGTCTCCTAGATTCATTCAGTTCTGTAACGAATTTCTGGTGTTTAGACCTTAGGTAATGTATCAATTTCAAGTATTTTAATTTAAGTCGCTAAATTTCTGACGAAACCATGTCAAGAGCCAAGGGTTATCAGTCGGTTCTCGAAAGAGTGTGATTACTGTGTCCTAAAACACGACTCTCGATTCCTGGTTCCATGAACAAACCGCATGTTTTGCGACGGATAAGAGTCCCAAAAGCGTCATCAAGCTGCCAATATAAATAAGCCTGTGAGCCTCCTAGATTCATTCAGTTCTGTAACGAAGTTCTGGTGTTTAGTATTGACGTCTTTCTGCTGACTATCTTTAGAGACCTTAGGTAATGTTTCAATTTCAAGAATTTCAATTTATTCGTCATGATTGTTGTTTTCTGTCTGTTATTTATTTTCTCCCCTGTATAAAGAACAAAACCGTTGGGTTAGCTTCACAACTCAAATCTCTTTTCCAACATATATCTTACCCTGAATATCAAGGCCATTTTGTCATTCCCTTGTCGAGGACGCCCGTGACTTTTTACCTATCAAGAATTATAACCTAGTTTTTATTTTCTGTATCTTTTAATTCTTAATTTCTCATGTAACTTGTACCATCAAGGAACGCCCTAGACAGGACGCTCATTGATTTCACTCTCCGTATGTATTTTCTTTCATTTCATTTCCGTAAACATTGTTAATAACTTACTGTATATTCTTTACTTTTCTTTCATTTCCTTACCAAGATTTACCATTTGTTCAATAAACCATGGTTAGAGTTGAGTAAGAAAAACTGATTCTTTTATTTCCTTTGGAAAACCCCAAGCTAGCATTCGAACTATATCCTGTCCACAATCCGATGTCCACAGGTGCAGGTACATTTATCACCTTTCCCTATCAAATAGCATTGAAAGGTGATAAATTTTACCGGTACCAGTGGACATCGGATTGTGAACGGATAATAACTGCGTACAGCTCAGGTAGCAAGAACCCGCACTGGAAGAGGCAATCTAATCAGATTACTAAAAAGTATTCGTTCAAAGTTACCTGAATTTTCAGTGGGACTTTAAACAAAGTCCCTGGTGGCACGCTATCGCAGTACAAAAAGGCCTTTACCAGTGCTAAAACAAAGTCTCCCTTACCCAACCGTCGCAACCAGGTAGCGGTGGTAACAACAAAATGATTTTCTAATCGAATGTATCCAAGTACTTATCTCCGATTATAAGCAGTTTGCATTTGTGTGAATATTGTTGAGTTGTGACCAGCTTACAAAAAAAAGCAATTTTCTAAGTTATTATTCATTCAAAATGCATACTTTCCAGTTAGTGAAAGATAGAGGCAGTTCAAATATTGTTTTATTTTCCATTCAGAACAACTTGTGCATAACGAATAGGACTTATGACCGCAAGGAAACGTTCTCACAGATTAACTATTCATGAGAGTATAATTTGGCAATAAATTGGCCTGCTTTGAGGCTTTAATCTTCATAAATCTTTGCATTATTATTAATTAAAAAAAAAGCTCAACAAGTATAAGACTTCTTTATAAGAAGTTGTTAGATTTCTGAAGCAAAATTAAATTAAATTAAGGATAACCCCTCAAAATCTAGATGGAAAATATTCTCTCAATATACTTCCGGAAAAGTTTTCCGCGTTGTGAAATTTCGCTCCTGCAGCTCTCTAGAGCCGGGTCGGTAAATAAAAGTTTTACAATTCGGGCAAGAGAGGAAGAGAATCAGCATCGTGTTCGGAAAATAGCAATATCGCTTCATGCGGGCGTGGAATTTTAAAATAAATAGGAAATTTTCGAAGGAAACAATACGCAAATTGGCCTACAAAAAAAAAATTGGACCTCACAATCCAAAATGGATGGTTTCAATGTTCAAAAATTGAATTTTCCATCAACCATCTGTCCACTCATTGCTTATAAACGTTGCAACAATAAAACCCGAAATTCTGATTTTCCAGTTATTTGATTGACCTGGTTATGTTGCAAACATGCACACGGTCTTTTTAAATTGTTTTTGGAACTTTGACACTAAGCTGCTCAATATTTCCCTCGATCAAATAATAAATAATTGAAAAATTAGTTTCCGATTCTTATTGAAAATCCAACCAAGGAAAAATAATAAAATTTTACTTGACTATATAAGAATATTGCTTGCATAATATAGAAAGGAACGAAATCGTGCTGTATTCTTGTTATCGCAAGTTATTGTATCCCACACTGTAGCAGTACAATGGCAATAGGGGATCTTTCCTTCGTATATATTTTTGAGTTGCGAGGTTTCGTGTGGGACAAATAAATATAATATGGAGGTTTTAGAGAACACAATTGGGAGGATCATAGAGTCCGAAATTTCGTTTTTGAAATTGGACTTTTTAAAACTCGATTTAATAAACCCTGGACGGATGAGACACTATATTAATTTCATACAGCACATTTTCAGAAAACAATTTCAAGAGACAGTATCAAAGAAAAACATATTTTTTGTATGAAATTGTCGTTTAAATTATTTAGACACTCGTTTCCTAAATCGCTCTATAAATTCGCTTAGCCTGAAGCTAAAGGCTAATTATTTATCAGACGCATTAAGAAAACCGCAAAATCCTTCTGGACACAGGACCACTCCCTCTTAAATATACGATCCAGAAAACCTGGAACGAATTAATTAATCCTTCATAGGATAAAGGGTGCCGGAATAAACGGTTGCTGTTTACCTAGTCGGCGTTAAATAATCTTTTATTGAAAACGAGCCCCTACTGGAATAGAATGGCTAAATCTGGGTTTTGTATAATAAACATATTACACCACCCGCAAAATCCCTTGACACCGTCTCATATTACTAATTCCTCTAAGGATTTTGCTTTAGTCTTAGGGATTTTCTGGATTTGAGATTTGTATTAATTTGGAATTAGAAAAAAATACAACTACAACGTAGATGATGAACATGAATATTCAATGTCGCCAATGAATAAACGATGTATATTTGTTAGGATTTATTGCAAATATACCAAATACATTTAAAAATGTATAAAGTTGTCATCAAACTACTCGCTAGGGGTGTATGCAACCGTTTAAATGTCCAATTTAGCCTTGCAAATATATTGTTAAAATAATTGCAGGAAAATTGCCAGTTTATAGCTTTGCCTTATTAAAAATTGACATCGGAGGGGATTTTATTAACATATAAATACTCCTCGTTATTTGTATCAGGACATAGTTGTTCTTTGATATTTGACGAGATGCAGAAATCGGTAAGAATAAATTTCTGATTGACAATCTTGAAACTTTCTTTGCAGGATCCACTCAACAATAAATTCTTCGGGGGTTTTATGCTGAAGTCGGCGTTTTATTTCTGCCTGCTACCTGACATTGTGGACTTTCGAAATGAGTTTATTAGAATGCTCTACAATCATTGTGCAAAATTTGTCTACGGTGTGGCCATTTTCATCAATTTCAGTCAAGTGGTAAAGTTGTATCAGATTTTCAACGATGACCCGTTTATTCTTGACGAAGTCTTCAGAAATTTAAATATCACACTTTACTTTACTAATGTTATAATCAGGGGTATATTTTTAAAAGGTGACACGTAAAAGTTATTAATTCGTAAAATACTCTAGATTTTTTTTTTAGGCAAACTGAGCGGCAAAATCTTCAAAAAAGTTTTCGAATTCGAAGACTCTATTTATTCCACTGGCGACCCTACAGTTCAAGCCACTTATCAAACATCTCTGAGCTTAGTCCAAACAACTAAATACTGCTACGTTATAACTGCGTTCCTTATGATGGGCTGCTACCTTCCAGCACCATTGTTCAGGGATCCTTACTACATAACTATAAATAACGAGACAGTAGCCGTGCCCCAAATGCCCGTATCCATATGGATACCATTCCACAAGTCATATTTGCTTTCTTACCTGTACGCCGCTTCATGTGGATCTTGGGTGACTTACATTTTTACTATAACAGACATGATTTGTTATTGGTAAGTAATTTATGTTTCTGACTGATGTTGATTTAAACCAATCGAATTTCATGAAGCTTCATTCTTTTCGGGGTTTGTCAAATGGACGTGTTGTGTCACTACATAAGTAATTTTGAAAGATATGCCACTGAGCATTCAGCTACACATGGAACGACTCTGGAGAAGTCCCTCAGGAAAATGCAAAAGGATAACCTACAGAGGCATAAAGAGATTATTAGGTGGGTATTTGAAATTTGAAATAATCGGTATAACATCGCCATGCTAAAACTATCTAGGACAACTTAAAAAACATCATTTCGAAAAAATCGAGCTTTATGATTGCAAATTCAATTGATTATATTGTCATGTATCAAAAGTTCCTTTGAAAAATTGTCTTAGTATTGAATTATTCACATGATCTGTTCTTCCAAGATATGGGTAGGTTGTTAACACACACGTTATGCAATGATTTTAGATTTAGCAGCGGACTACGCTGGGTTTAGATGCGAATGCTAACATTAAATTTGTTTAAAGTAATTTATCCATAGGTTTAAAATAACGAAACACACAACGGCAATTATTGTAGAAAAAACAAGGTACTCACCGATTAACTCCGGATTGTGGGGTTCTCTGGGGCCCCAGTTCTTCTCGTGTTTCACAACCACTTCTTCAGTGATACCAGCACATTTTAAGATAGGTCTTTAGTCACAAATTGGGTCGATTGATTAAGAAAAATTGATACAATCGGAGGACACAGAATTTACATGTCCGCCATTCACGAAATTTATGTACTGTCTTCAGCAAGTGCGAACTTTGTACCCGGCGCGCAATTACAATTGTGTGTTTTTTAAATATTCAAATTTTACCGACAATTTTATTTAGCGTGTGCGCTAACATTTCTGTCCGCCAAACCACACAAAATTTGATCTAAGCGAAAGAAAAGAAAAAATAAATATAATAACTTAGAAAATATTGAAAATTCAAAAACAAAACAAAAAACTTAAATCTAAATGATACTCACTGAAGTAAAAATCAATGGGTGTGAAATTAGGGAAAAATTAATTTTCCTTTGGCAAGAGACACAGTTTTACTACTGGTCGCTTGTAGATACCGTTTGCCATTTTAACGCTGGCAACACGAACATGTCCATCTTCACCGGGGTGCAACTCTAATACCCGCCCAAGAGGCCATTTCAAAGGTGACTTGACATTATCGCTTGAAACTAGGACAAGATCGTTGACACTGATTCCAGGCGACGGATTTGACCATTTGAACCGCTGTTGCAGCGTATTTAAATATTCCAACGCAAAGCGCTTCCAAAAATCAGCATGTAATTTTTGAATAAGTTGCCATCTTGATAACCTATTGATTGGCAAGTGAGATAAGTCCGGATCAGGTATACCTGAATTTAGAGGCTCGAGGGTAAAAAAGTGCCCTGGGGTGAGAGGTAGAAGATCGTTTGGATCCGATGATTGAGCTGTGAGTGGACGTGAATTTAGGACTGCCTCTATTTGGCAAGTGAGGGTGTAAATGCCAACGAATCGAAAGTTGATTCGCAGCCTCCTTGGCATTCTCGAGAAGCTGATTGTGAAAACCAACGAAATTACTTCCTTGGTCGCTCCAACAATCAGTGACGTTTCCGCGTCGTGCGAAACGCCGAAAGGCAGCGATAGATAAATCCATAGTCAGTTCCAAGTGCACACACCGAACACTGGTACAGACAAACACACAAACATACGATTTAAAGGATTTACAACCCCGAAATCGATGGGGAAGGACCAAGAAGGGTCCGCAGAAATCAATTGCAACGTGGGAAAAAGGCTTTAATTGATTGATTCGATGAAAAGGTAAGGAACCCATTATTGGAGGTGGACAAGGTTTCGGGTTGACTCTAAAACATCTCAAACATTGGGACAAGGTTCTCTGAATTGCATTTCGACATGATAAGATCCAATATTGTTGTAAAAGTAAATGATGAAGTGTTTTTTGACCTGGATGTAAATGCTCTCTGTGAACGTGTTCTATGATAAGAGTGGTTAGACGATGTTTGCTAGGTAACAGCGAGGGATGTTTCGCTGCGTAGGAAAGGATTTCTGATCGTTGAAGCCGACCACCTACCCTGATGATTCCTTTTGAGTCAAGAAATGGGTTGAGTTTTCGAAAAGGCTTAGGAATAGGTTTATTATTGGATAGCACTGAAATGAGTTCAGAAAAAAAATATTTTTGAACATGTCTGATAAGGACGAGAAGTGAATTTTTCATTTCATCAGGGGTAGGATCTTTAATTTTTTCGAAAAGAAGTGGTAGATTAGACAAAGTTATAGGTTTTTGAAAAGAATGATTTAGAAACGTACTAGTAATTCTGATTACATAACTTAAGATACGTAGGACTGAAAATTTATTAAGAAGGGTATCCAGAAGGTTAGGATCAACAGTTATGTTCAAAACCGTTTGTTTTTCTTCCAAATCCAGATTTTCACCGTCGAGTGGAAGTTGTGCGGTAACGAAATTTGGCCATTCTTCTTGGGGTAACCACAAAAAAGAAGGTGCATTCCACCACATGTCGTGAGCTATAAGCTGAGAGGGAGTCATCCCTCTAGAAGCAGCGTCTGCTGCGTTTTGCGCAGACGGAATATAATGCCAAGATGTTGAGGAGATGATTTCCTGAATATGATTGACCCTATTGGCCACAAAGGTCTTTAAGCGTGTGGGGCATGATGCTAGCCAATAAAGAACGATTTGAGAGTCACACCAAGCGTAAATATCAGTAAAGAGAATTTTGTCTGAATAGGTTGCCAAAATAAATTGAATTAAATCGCTTCGGAGGACAGCGCCGAGAAGCTCTAGTCTAGGTACTGATTGAGTTTTGATAGGAGCAACTCTAGCCTTGGCACAGATTCCTTTTCCAGGAATCGATAACATAGGGGGGCGGAGTTTCATCCCAACCTAGATTTGATGTCCACAATTGTTGCATTATAGCTAGCTTGAAGTAAAATTGGACATAGGAAACCTAAGGGATCAAAGATAGTCCCAATGATAGAAAGAATAGAACGTTTGGCTTTTCCTTCATTTGGCATTGATAGGTGAAAATGTCACTTTTAGGCTGCCACTGAAGCCCTAAAATCTTAATAAAGTGAGGTTCCTCTTTATCAAAGGAAAGATTCATCTGACGATCGGAATCAGGTAATGCAGCTAGTAATTCTGGACAATTACTTGCCCACTTTTTTAGCTCAAACCCTCCCGACTGGAATAGATTGATGAGTTCCTTCTGAGTGGCAAGTGCCTCGGAAATAGAAGAGCTAGTTCCCAAAATATCGTCTATATAAATTAAGGACTTGACTATTTTACTAGCATTAGGAAATCGTTCCTGTTCTCGATAGTACACTTATATTTTTTCGTTGAAAGCCGAATTATATAGAAAAAATAAAATAAAAATAGCTTCAGACACCACTACATTAGCTCGCCCCCCACTCATCAGAACTTTTAGCATATTATTTAGGACTACCTTCACCTGCATCTGTGTCAAATTTGGCTTCAACACGATTTTTTCTCCTATTTTTCCTCCGTTGCCTGGCCTATAAATTGTTACAAATTAACCTAGATTTGTATACTTTAAGATAAAGATAACCCTAGGATCGTGAATTCAAAGAAAAATTAAGATAACGTGTAGCCCTTTTGTGTGCAAATGAAACCACTCAACATCCAACAAACAATAATTTTATTTAATTTTGTTTACAATGTTCTGTGTAATTTCAATGCTAACAACTTGGTTTTTCCTGGCGAATCTGATACCAAGTACCTGCTTTCCAATCCGGAGCTCTTCAAGGGGTGTTGGGGTTTCACTTTCGTGAACTGGAGCTTTTCGTATTGTTTCCTGTATCCAGGAAGAGGATAGATTGCTGGGGTGACGTCACTCTAGCTGATCCAGACTCCAAACAGTGATCTTTATGCAGAGTAGGTACCCAGAAGAGAATAAGGCAGTATCAGGTTCACCAATATTTGGAACATTAAATTCCTGAATTCTGTCAAAAAGTGAGTGTCTTGCAAAATAAATTGAAGTTAAAATTTGGTATAAAATGATTGTTGTACAGACACTCCCTTTCAACAGAATCGGGTATGAAAAACTATTGCAAGTTAAAAAATTAATATTTTAATATAAAAAAGGAACAATTAAATAATTAAGATTAATTGTAAGATAATAAAACAACAAAGAATAACAAGATTAAATTAGAATGCTCATTACAATTCCTTCCTTGAAAAACAGCTCTGGCAGGCAAAAATACAAGAGAAAATATGAGCAAAAATAAGGTAAGTAAAAAAAATTAAGATATCAAATGTCTGGATTCCTCCCCAAATAGACAAAATTCTCCCCTCGAATTAAGTTAGCTATCACAGATACTAGATAAACCTAGGGATGAAATTAATCAAATCCAGAATGTGTCAAAATTCTTGAGATGTTTTGATTAAAACTTTTAAACTGAATTTTTGACCTGTCTGGATTTCTATTAAAAAATTACACCCTTTAGTTAAGATAATAATTTAAGGAGTCAAGCAGAAAATGGCTGTTCAGGCCTCTGCCTGGATTCAATAAAGAATTAATGGGGATGGACTCACAAATTTGGTTTTCACCGACTCTATTTAGAGCAAATAGTCCAGTTTTCCCACACTAAAAATTGATTCTGAAAGCCAGAGCAGCAGTACCCATTTAAAATCAAAAATCTGTCTTGTCTTGACTTACCAATTATAACAAAACGTGGCACTAACCAATAAGCAAAGTAATTCACATAAAATGGAAGCCAACAATTAGATAAAAAAAAATTAAAATATAATATTTATACTTCAAAAAACAGATAAGATAAGATTTATCAGTAAAAACTTAATAAAGATAGGATAATTTGAATATTGAAAAATCTATAGGGGAGGATCTAGAAATTCACAGCACAAAAATTATTTAAAAAAATAGAGGACTTGCCTGGCCAGAGTGTTCTTCAAGAAGAGAACATTTTAGAGAACCAAGCTAGCAGGAAAACGAAGCTGTGTTTTTTTTATACTTACTGCATTCCAGCCAGTTTGAACCAATCAAACGAGTACACTCGAAAGACCATATTCACTTCAAAATGAAAACACAATGAACAATGAAGACCGCATGGAATAAACGAAAATAGATAAAAATCCACTAAAACTATTTTAATTGTTTACAAATTATAATAATTTAAATTAAGGTTATGTCAAAGATAAAAGACTGTTAATTATTTGGATCATTAAGACAAAAATGAATATTTAAAAATCAAAAGTTAAAAAAGGACAGAAATATATCCATTTGCTAAAAGTGAGATGAATATAATTTCTTTCAAAAAATACAAATTACTGCCAAAATGCGAAATAAGAAATCTACTTTGAAATATAGATCAGATCGATCATCGCGCACTAGATGGCAGTACTAAAAAATCAATTTTTGATACTTGCACTTTACGCAAATGCAGATAGATGGCAGCACTTGTATTACTTGAATTTAAATTTGAATTTAATGGATATTTTTAGAATATTGGAAATTATTTTGAATTCTGAAATGAAAAAAATACAACTTTATAATGAAAATAAGAAGAGATGGAACATGTTACGTAAATGATAAATTTATCGTAACAAAATCCAGTCTCAAACGAAAGAAAAGGACTTTTCAATATCATTATCCTTCTGTATTGCAATAGAAAGATAGGTAGGTACCTATGCATTACACATACATAAGAGTTGCCAGGATAACTCAAAATCGTTATTTTCAAACTTGTCTTAGTATTGTTATAGTACAGCAACATTGTAATAATTAAAGTAGTTTTATTGACAACGTCTTTGCTACTTCAATAGACGACTTAAACAGTTTTATTCTTAGTCGTCAGAAAGGTATACCGACTCCAATGATATATTTGGTGCTTTGTTCCCAAAATTGCTATTTGAGAAGGCTCGTTACAGTTAATATATACTTATTTTTAGCTACGTAATACAATTGAATGACACTATGAAGAACATATTGCTAGCGGATTTTGTGCCTAGTTCCATTCAAATGGCAACAATAATTTATCTGATGCTGGTAACTTAAACTAGCAGAATTGCCGCCTTCTAAAATTTCAAGTTTTGATAATTCCAGAAAAATCTGAGCGTGGTACAAGTGTTTCTTCTGAGTCAATTCATCGTATTTCAGCTCGCTAGGATTTTCATTTATTGCTACAGCGCCAACATATTGACTCAGAAAGGTCTCGAAATCGGCACTTATTGGTACAATTTGGACTGGACTGAGTATCCTGAGGACATACGCAAAAATATCGTGATGTGCATTCTCAGGCCTCAGAAGCCTTTGCACATTTCCATTGGAAAATTTCACGATATTTCTTTGGAAACATTTTTAGCGGTAAGAATTTCTGAAAGTTAATTATTAGTTGGAAATGAGGTGCATAAATCTTCAATTTTACCGGAATATTACAAAAATCGACTCCTTTTATAAAAATAACAATAGTTGTTTGCTAGTAAGTTTCCAGCACCTACAAGTTTTCTTTGCGAGTTTTAAGAAATTAAAATCACGAAACCGAAACTGCTGCAGCTACTGAAACAATCGCGAAAGAGAATTTTGATGAGAGAAACTTTACTCACATATTTTTCTTTTTTAGATTGTACGAGGAACTTATTCTTATTCGTTGTTACTTACCACCATCTAGAATGGACATAATGTTATTTAGTTTTGTACAGGGTGATTCAATGTTTGGTTTAAATTTTTTCACTCAAGCAATCAGATATTGATATTAGATTAGATGTTTTATTAGAAATAACATATCTGTTGTTTTACATATTTTAATCACCTAACATGAATCATCCTATGATATAGTAAAAATCAAATTTAGGACAATTAATATAATATATAATATTGCAGACAAATTTTCATATCGTAATTTCATTTCTTCTGCCATCCCATGGAACCCTTGAAAAGAAAGTTTTCTCCATATTCAATTACCTAATTATCAAAGTTTTATGAAGTAATTTTAATGGTATTAAAAAGATATTCTTCTCTCGAGAAGCAGGTACAACTTTTCCGGAAAGTAAGTGAGACGAAAATGCATAAAATTGCAAATTAAAAACTAGAAGAAAATTATAATGAAAGCTTAAAAAAAAAACAAACAGCTGGAAACCCGGCGGTGCAAAATAAATATTGATTCATTCAAAGTTTCATTGTGTGGCCAAATGAATACATTTCACTGCTATAAATATTTTAGCACTTAAAATGATTTTTTAGTGTTTTACAAAGGCAATTTTTTGTTGGAGAACTATATAATGAAATTGTCATTATTCATGTAACCACTGATATAAAGATGCAGCTCGGGTTCCCAGGTGATTTATAATTTATGCGTTAGCACGTTTAACAGACATGGATGTTTTCAAAAACAAGGGACGGCGGACCCTTTCTTGTTTTTGAAACTTGTATTTTTAAAAAACATTTATTTTATTAATTAAAATACAATGGTGACAAACGAAAATATGTGGATCAAATTGCTACAGCAAATGCCTGAAAACAAATGAACGCTCTTTAGGAGACTGCGCTGGCTTAAATTAGAAATAACTGCTGATGCCAACATTTGCGTTGGCGGAATGGTGGTACTACCAGTACAGTACCGCTGATTAGGCAGTTTTTATTATTATGAGTTTCGACATAGGCGTACGCTTAAAATTATCATAGGAAAGAAGAACTATCAGTAAAAAGATAACATAGGATCTTACAATATAACTCTGGGCACAGGTAGTTAAGTTCGTGAAGCTTTTGGTCAACACGACGAAAACAGGCTCTCAAATATTAATATATTTATAATTTTGTTAGACAAACTATATTTCTTGTCTTGAATAAACTATCTTTAATTTATATTATATTTATTATTATACAACACCATAGTCAAAAGCATAGTCACGTATAGTTCAGAAGTCTGGCCACTAAAGATCAGAACCGCAAAAATGCTGGAAGCAACTGAAATGGACTTTTGGAGGAGATCGGCAGGCAGGTCAAAAATGGAGAGGATAACAAATCTGAGAATTAGGGAGATTATGGACGTAAAACACACAATAATAGATGATATAAAGGACAAACAGCTGATTTGGTTCGGACATGTACAAAGAATGGCAGATACAAGAATACCCAAGCAAATAATCGAGTGGAAGCCAGGGGGAAGAAGAAGACGCGGCAGACTAAGAAGAAGCTGGAGAAGTGGTGTAGACGAGGAAATGAAAGACAAAGGCCTAGAAGAGGATGCCTGGATTGACAGAGATGGTTGGAGATCGGGAATCGGAAGACGTAGAACGTTATAAACCGATAATTATATATATATATATATATATATATATATATATATATATATATATATATATATATATATATATATAATTTATATTCATGTCGATTCAAATAAAATGGCAAGCACCAAAAGCTCATGAACGAAAAAAAAAAAAATCTGTGTTTTATTATTCTTTTTGTTGCCAAAAAAGAAAAATTCGCGCTCATATTTAGATGGCGGTCTCCTTAAAAAAGCCTCCGCCCTTAAATTATTCCGTGTGAGATGCCACCGAAAAAAAAAAAGCAAAAAGCCTCTTTATTTTTTGTCGAGCACACAAAATTTACAAAAATCCGAAATAGAATTCAGGCTTTTCACCACTAGGGCAGTAATTTCTTTAATTGCTTCCCGAAAAGAAACTTCTGGACAGGGAAAATTTAATCCAATCCCCCAGATTCAGGGGAAAAACTTAAACAATTAAAGAGATTAAAGCCTCCGAGAAAAAAAAAAAAAAAAGTGGATCGCCAGACAATCCTAACAGGAACAGCGTCTATTAAAGGATAAATCCAATCTGGCCAATTTTCGGGCATGGGAAAAAAGTTTCAACGTAATTTTCTTAAGTTTTCTGACTTTTTAAGAGCTGCTTTTTTGTAATCTGTCGATGTTTTGGTGTCTAATAATCAATCTTTAATTACCATTGACATAGGCGTATCCAGGGGGTGGGGCTGCCAGGCTGCAGCCCCCCCCCTCCAAAGGCATGTCGAAATTATTTTATATGTATATTATAACTTATAACCATTATTCAATATTTTTTTTCATAATAATTATTCTGATGCATACCGTACTTTCCATTATTATTCGTAAATATCCCTGATATTTTTTATGGTGCAGCTCATGTATGAAGTTTGTTGAATTTTCCTCAATAGAAATAACGTTTATTTCAATGTATACCTAATAAGGTTTTTCTATGACTACAGTGGCGGCTGCAGCAAGAGAATCAGTGCTTCACCTTAATCACCTCAAATTTCCGTCATACTTCCTTTCTCCTCAGGAGAGGGTGAAGAAGAAAAAGCGAATAAGTTCAATAAGTTCAAGTAAACATATCAAACTCGTGGCCCGATGCAAATAATTATCTTTATGTACGACAGGAGCGCAAAGCACCTATTTGCGCCCTGATTTGAGGGCGAAATTTGATACTTTTCGGCCCGTAGGGCCGCAAAATGCCAACTTTTTTTAATAATCTGTGCCTCGGGCTCCAATTTCCACGCGAAAATTACTATTGTAGCCACGCAAAAAAGACGCGTAAAGTTTGGGTATGTTAAGGGGGCATTACACGGCGTGTGGAGCGGCGCGCCTGGCGCGTGGAGTGTGAACTGGCAAGCCATGCGCGTGGAGTGTGGTTGCAGTCAGACGGCCTGTGAATTGAAAAGTTCGCGCATTGCGTGTTGAGACCTTCTCCCACAACATCTTCGTTTTAGTAATATCAGGAATTACTTTTTAAAAAAAAATTATTGGTGAACTTCCCGCTCCACGCGCCGTGTGACTGTATTCCCCAAGTCGCTCCACACGCGCGGCGCGTTTCCTTCGAAGAGTGTCAAATTTGCCGAGTCAGCCCCTTCACACGGCGTGTGGAGTGCCAGTTCACGCGCCGTGTAATGCCTCCTTTACAAGTATATTCCTTACTTTTTTTTCACCTGCGGCGCTTTTTTTTATCACCACTTTTTGTTGGCACAGCCCCCCCTAAACCAAAATCCTGGATACGCCAATGACCATTGAACAAACAATGTAATGTAATAATATAGCATTACCGGGCTCCGCTCTGTGTCAAAATGATACTCTGGCGGGCAGTCGGGGATTCAACCTCTATCTACTTTGGGTGGAAAGACTGTTTAATTTTACTCGGGAAAGTTACAAAATGCAAAGGCACAAACCAGGGGCGCCCGCAGAAAAATATGTAGGGGGGATCAATCAATCAATCTGCTGCCTCTACCGACCGCCATCTAACACCGAGTACCAAAACTTTTTCGCGACATTATCCGAAAGCTGTGATAGTATAATACAGTCAAACTATCCACAGGCGGAAATTGTCTTTTTAGGCGATTTCAACGTCCACAATGTACCCTAGCTGAAACACCACAACAAAACAGATAACGAAGGCAGAGAAGCAGAAGCTTTTGCCATAAGTTGTGGTCTAACGCAGCTTGTCGATGAACCTACCCGTATCTCAGAAAGGGGCGAATTTGCAGCGCTTTTAGACTTGTTCCTAACCACAAATCCTGACTCGTACACAATTCAAGTAGATGCTCCACTTGGTTCGTCCGATCATAAACTTATAATAACAAAGTGCGAAATGCTCATCCCACCAAGCCAACAACCACTTCCTCGTAAAATGTGGCACTATAAATCGGCAAAATGGAATGACCTAAAACAGTTTTACCTGGATTTTCCATGGTAAGAGGTTTGCTTTAAAACAGCTGATCCCACTATTTGCTGTAATGAAATAACACAAGTAATCTTATCTGGAATGGACGCATATATCCCACATACAACTAAACGTAGAGCTAATGCAAAACCTTGGTTCAACAGCCAGTGTCAAACGGCTGTACAGAAAAAACACAGAGCATATAACCTTTGGAAACGACAACAAACCGCTCAAAACCACACAGAATTTATAGAAGCCAGAAATAGTTGCAAAATTACTATTGACTCCGCTAAAGAAACATACAATCAAAGAATAAAAAACAGGTTGCTGAATTGTCCAAGTAGTTCTAGGTCCTTTTGGTCTCTTGCAAAAGCTGTTGGATCTAACTTCACCAAGTCATCCATACCACCACTTACAGATAAAAATAATCACTTAGCCACAACATCAGAGGAAAAAGCCAATATGATGGCCCAAATGTTTTCCTCCAACTCCAACCTAACAGTGCCAAACGGAAAAACTCCACCGTTCATTGAAAGGGTTTCCCATAGTATGCCAGAGGTACCCTTTTGTCACAGAGAAATACGAAAATCTTTTAAAAAGCTAGATACAAACAAAGCAATGGGTCCGGATGGCATTCCCGCAATAGTACTCAAAAATTGCGCCAACGAACTCACCCCAACTTTCGCAAAATTATTCAATTTGTCTTACAGGCAAGGAGTATATCTATCATCATGGAAGTCTGCCGCAGTACAACCCATTCCAAAGAAAGGAAAAAAGACAGATCCGTTAAACTATAGACCAATTGCTCTACTTCCGGTGATATCAAAAGTAATGGAAAGAGTTGTGAACAATCACCTAACCAAGTACTTGGAAAAGTACAAAATTATCAACGATAAGCAATACGGATTTCGAAAATATAGGTCAACTGGCGATTTACTTACATACGTCACTCACTTATGGCAAAAAGCGATTGAGTTGCGGGATGAAACAAGAACAATTGCCTTAGATATATCTAAAGCATTCGACAAAGTTTGGCATGAAAATCTGCTCAACAAGCTCAAAGCAATGGGATTATCGCCGAAACTTTGCACTTGGTTTGAAAGTTACCTAAAGGACAGATCCATTTATGTTGCACTGGATGGCCAGAACTCCAACTCTTACCAAATAAATGCTGGTGTGCCACAGGGAGCAATCCTTTCGCCAACTCTTTTTCTGATTTACATAAATGACCTCATAGATAAAACAGTAAATCCACTT